AGCGCCTTTGGGAGCGTTCGGGCCCGTGCCTACCTCCTCCCAGAATGCCATGGAGGTCCGCGTAACCGATACGCAGAGGAGTCTCTTAATAGGTTAAAGCGAGGAGTAGATCCAAGCACGAAGAAGTTCGTGGGAAGATCTATTCCACTGGTCTGGGGTGGGTCGGGCTGGGCGTCCAAGGCGGCGTGACCCCCTCTGACCTAATTCTAATCCTTTTACCCAGCACTGTTTTTCGCAGCTTTATCGCAGGCCACTGGCCAGCAGTGACAGACGGCATATGAGCCAACAGGAGCCAACAGGAGGAGGAGGAGGAGGGAGGAGGGACGGGAGAGGAGGAGGAGGAGGAGGAGGGGAGGAGGAGGAGGAGGGAGGAGGAGGAGGAGGAGGAGGAGGAGGAGGAGGAGGACCAGTGCAAACCCAAGACTCCTCCTCAACGATGTGTAGCAATAAACCCTGCCTCCAAATTGCCTCTTCATGGGTCCCTGCAGGGATTTGTTGAATCGTTTCGCTCATTCCGCCAGCCCATATAGCGTCATCGTAACCGCGTGCCTGGTGGTGGAAGAGGAGTAATTCGAAAGAGGAGGAGGAGGAGGAGGCCTCTTGACGGCCTCATGGGGCACAATTGGAAGCGAACTGGGTCGTGGACAAGGTGCCTGTTTGGGAGGCTTCTTAGGGTCTCTCGGGAGGCGCATGTTTGGGGGCTCTTGAGAGGTCTTGGGGGCCTCGTGGGACATGGTTTTTGGGCCTCTGGTGGCCTCTTGCGGGCTTCTTTGGGGCCTGCTGGCGGTCTCGGGTGCTCGGGTAAGGTTCGAGGTGTCTGTTCGGGTTCCCCCTCCCGGGGCCCTCTTGGGAACCTCTGGAGCCATCTTGGGAGGCCTCGTTAGCCTCTTGGGGCCTTCTTGGGGCCGTCCCGGGAGCCTCTTGGGATGACTTGGGACGATCTTAGAGGCCTTTGGGGACGTCATGGTAACACCACAACCTTTCAAACATCAAATCCGAATCAAGGAATTTGCCTCTGAGGGCCCTCATGGGGTGCTCTTGGAGCCCTCCTGGGGCGTCTTTGGGCACCTCGTGGGCCGTCTTGAGACCGACTTGGGCCGTCTTGGAGCGCTCTGGACCTGAGCCCGTGGGGCCTGCAACCCATTTGGCGGCTCCTCGGGCGCTCCTGGAGCCCACCAGGTATCTCAAGGGTTGCGCCCAGGAGTTCTGTCATCTCTGACCCAGACTTCTTGTGCGGATTCGGCGGGGCTCCGCGGCGAAAGCTTGCAGTGCCCGCCCCATCTGGCCGTCCTCCCCCTTTTTTCAGGGGCGACCAATCCATACGGACACACGTAAACGTCGATGCCCCAGAAAAGATAGATATGGGAAGCGTGGGGGAGCGAAGACGAAAATCCAGAACAGATTCGAAAATCTTGGGGATCCTGGGACTTGTGCCGGTGTATCTGTTTTTCCTTGGGCCCCTTCACTCTTCCCCTCCTCCGGCCGCCCCCCTCGCACATCTGCCCCCCCCCCCCCCCCCTGCGCCGTAGGGGCTCGCCCCTGCCTCTGTTGGTGCCGCGGAGTGTGGCCCTCACGCCGACGCCCTCCACAGGACCTCCTCGATTCGGCTCAATCACTGAAGAAGAAATAACGGCATAAAAGAACATAAACTTTTGGCGCTCCGCGCGGGTTTCTCTTGGATCCGCGCTGGGCCCCCCCTGGTGGCGCCTCTGGCTCCGCCCCTGGCGGGACGCAGCCCAGATCCAAGAAATCCGCGCGGAGCGGCAACAGTTTATGTTTACTGCCGCGTTTTTTTCCTAGAGCAGTGAGTTACCCGGAAATTGCTGTCTCGTAGAATATACGAAAAATCAGTTCTGGGGGACAGCAATTTTGCAGTCGATCCCTTCCTCCTCCTCCTCCTCCTCGTCCTCCTACCGATCGATGATCCTCAGGACTTGTGTTGGCCCGGTGTGCGCGTTCCCTCGTTCAGTCCCGCCGACAGCACGCCGCCCGCGCCAGCCCTCGTCCCCCCCCCCTTCGCGTCGTGTCGAGGGGCTTCGGCGGACCAGCACACCTTGACGCTAACACTGAGTGGGGCCCGTCCCTCTGCACGAGGAAATCTCAAAGATTGCAACAAAAATAGTCGGGGGACGATTTTCTGACTATTGTTCAGGATTTGCTTTTGTATTCTTTTGACTATTATTGATTTTTCGTCCACAGTCTGCCTGTCGGGTGACACGCCCGACCTCACGCTAACACGCGTTCCGAGGATCATCGACACGTGAGGTCCGAACGGATGGGTCGAATCTGACACTTTGCGACCACGACTTGCTGAAGCTCCGCGCGGATCTCTTGGATCCGCGCTGGAGCGCCGCATCGCCAGTGCATCAGCGATGCATCGGCGACGTCGGCGTTGCGTCGGCGCCGTCGGCGCGGAGAAAATCAGGCTCCACATCGAGCCGCATCGCCGATGCTCAAGCAGTGGCGAAGCGTTCTGGCTCTCCTCTAGTCCTATAGCCCCACCAAATAATGTTATACGAACCTTTTTTTTTGTGGTTTGCACGAAATGTTATTAGAACAAGTTTGGGTTCTACGAACATTTCGTGGTAGGCCTATAGGAATGCCGGGGCGGTCGGTCCCTGCTCAAGATGCATCGGCGATGCGGCGGGATCCTCCGACCTCGTGGACTCGGACCCCTTACGGAAGGCCTGGACTGCAGGAGAGGGGCAGGGCCGGTAAAGCCCGAGGTCTTGTGCGTCAATGTCGGCGGCTGCTAAGGGTGCCCCTGGCCCTATGTGTCCCTGGCTTCTCGAAGAAAGAGGAGGAGGAGGAGGAGGAGGAGGAGGAGGAGGAGGAGGAGGAGAAGGATAACGAGGAGGAGGAGAAGGAGGAGAAGAAGGGGAGGAAGGAAGGAGAAGGAAGAGAGGAGGGAAAGGAGGGAAGGGAGGAGGAGGGGAAAGGGAGAGGAGGAGGAGAGGAAAAGGAGGAGGAGGAAAGGAGAGGACAAAAGGAGAACAAAGAGGAGAAAAAAGGAGGGGAAAAAGGAGGAGAAAAGGGAGGAGAAGGAGGAGAAGGAGGAGGTGGAGGAGGAGGAGGAGGAGGAGGAGGAGGAGGAGGATGGGGAGGAGGAGGAGGAGGGGGAGAAGGGGAGGAGAGGGAGGAGGACGAGGATCTCCATTTGGCGCCCTGGGGGGCCAGCTGGACCTCGTGATCAGGTGCTCCGTCGAGGCCTCGGGAGGCCGTGGGTGCCTCGGAGATCCTGAGGGCACCTGGGCGGCGGCGGGAAACGGGGTCGATCGGGGACATGGGGGGGGGGGGATGGGCACGATGAGGGGACGCATCGAGTGGGGAGGCTCGGACTTCGAGGCCCGAGGTTCTCGGGCGCGACCGTCGGTCCTCGGCGGGCTTCTCCAGCCTCGGGATGCCTGCCAGCAGCTGCGCCTCGCGGAGGGCGTTCTGGGGACGCCCAGATCGTGCCGAACGCCCGCCAGAGACCCCGTGGCGTGGCCCAGGAGCCCGTCAGCCACGCGCAAGAGGGGGGTGGGGGGAGGGGGGGGGGCTTCTGAGAAGCACCCCTGCTTCTTGGAAGGCGCGGGCCTCATCTATGGATGCAAGGCCGGCGCCTTCTAAGCAGCAGCCTCCCTCTAAGAAGCCCTCCCCTCCCTCCACCCCCTTGTGCGCACCAGCAAGAAGAGGGGGAGGAGGAGGAGGAGGAGGAGGAGGAGGAGGAGGAGGAGGAGGAGGGAGGAGGAGGAGGAGGAGAGGAGGAGGAGGAGGAGGAGGGGAGGAGGAGGAGGAGGAGGAGGAGGAGGGAGGAGGAGGAGGAGGAGAGAGGAGGGGGAAGAGGAGGAGGAGGAGGAGGAGGAGGAGGAGGAGGAGGAGGAGGAGGAGGAGGAGGAGGTTGTGCGCCAAAGCGCCAAAGTTGGCGGCGAGCCCGGGGGGGACGCCCAAGCGCGAATGGACCGCTGGCGGGGGCCCGGGGGCTTCCCCACGCCCAGGAGCGTGGGGGCTTCGCGGTCGGGGGCCGGTCTCGGGAGGGACAGAAGCCACACGGGCACAATTCATCGTCGATTTCCCGGAGAATGTGCGAAGATATCGGAAGTGGGGGGGAAGACAGAGACCCAGAAAATGTGTGAAAGTATGGCGAATTTTGTTATCTGTGTGTATTCATTTGTGTGTCCCAGGGCCCCTTGGCTGTCGCCGATCTCTATATCGGCAATGTGTCGCCGATGCCAGGTCGATTTTCCCACCCTGTGCAAGTCCACCCCTACAGTGTGGGCCCATGCCAAGAAGCACCCTGCTTGCCTCCAGGGTGCCCTGGATTTCTTGGGTCTCGATGGTTCTGTGATGGAAGGCGCGACATGCCCACACCAAAAGTACATGGACGCCTTGGGGTCTCAGGGTTGGGTTTCTTGTGGAAGGTTTCTTGTGGACTTGCCTCCACTGTACCGTTGTCCCTCATGAGCAGCAAGAAGAAGAGGGGGTCGACTGCGCGGACATTCGCGCGCAAGTTGCCTGCGTAAGATGGGTGCAAGCGCCCCCGTTTCCACTGTTCGAGTATGAGATCGACTACAGAATTTGTCTACTTCCATACTCGGAACACCCGTCGAATCTACGACCGATGCGCAGAATGCTTGTAGATCTACGGAGATTCAACGCAGATCTCATATTTTCATAACTCGGCGGAAATTTAAACTCTGGTGTACATCAATGCTCTAGTCCATCACCTGCTCGAACGGTAGCGTGCCTCGCGGGTGGCCGCCCGCGTACGCTGCCGCGTGAGCTCGCCATGTCTTCTCGCACAAGGCCCGTGTCTGTTCGTCGCTCCTCCTGGCCTCGTGATGGGGTGCCCCGGAGGCCAAGGATTCGGAGGCTGATAGGCCTCCTACCCTGACGCGTCGATTGGCGAATTGGCCGTTCTCGGTTCGCGAGAGGGCGTCTAGGCCGTCATTTTTGCGGGTCCAGGTCCGTCGATTTCGGTCCCAGGCCGTTCTCACTAAAGGGAGGTTTACTAAAGGGAGGTTTGTCCACCGCCGGAGGATGCCTCGGAAATCCTGGGGACATCGTGGGCCGGAGGCACTCCTTGCGGCACCGGGCAGTAGTCTGAGATCTTGCAGCGCGCTTGCTGATGTTGCAGCGGGTCCACTAAGTGCGCAGCTCCGCTGCTGCACGTCTGCCCCGGAGGCAAGAACCTCCATCAGTGTGTAGTCCGCGGCTCGGAGACTGCAGCCGAAGAAGACACAGCGTCATGAACCACATTTCGAAGCCCCGCGCGGATTTCTCGGGTCAGCGCCAGGCCCCCACGGAAGCGCCTCCGGCGCCGCCCTGGGCACGCTCCGCGCGCCAGGGAGGGGGTTCCAGCGCCGATCCAAGAGATGCGCGCGGAGTTCCGAAAGTTTATGTCTGTGCAGATGTTTCTTCTGTTCTGTCCTGGAGGCCAGAGCCTCCATGAAGAGAGTCCGCCGCCGAGAGGCTGTAGCCCTCACGCTGGCAGAGCTGTTCGGTTCCAGGGGCCCGCGACCGGAGAGTCGTGGTGCAAATTCGTAGAGGCACGCATGGCGTGGACATCGGCCGATGTTCTCACATCGGATTGCTGAGCTGCGCGACGCCGGGGAAGAGAGGCGGAGAAGGCGAGAGTTGAGTCTGGCCCGTCCCTCTACAGGAGGAAAATTCAAAAATAGTCAAAAACTAGTCTGGGGACTCTTCTTTTGTTTGTATTTTTTTGACTATTCTGGAGCATGTTTGGGGTATTTCATTTTTCGTCGAGAATCCCCCTGTAGGGGGGACACGCCCGACTTAAGACGAGAGGGACGGCGGGAGAGGTGGGCAGCTGCTCTGTGATCCTCCCTCGCCTGCGCGGGGCCCCCCGGCCGGACGGGCTCTACCTCCGCCCTCTGCTACTTCTGCCTCCCCCACATGCTCCTCGTCATCGTGCCCCTCTCTCTCTCTCTCGCTCTCTTCTGTTATCTTTCTCTCCCCGTCTCTCTCCTTCCCCGCCCCCCTGCTTCTCGTCCTGCCCCGCCCCTCCCCCTGCCTTCTTCCCTACCAGTCCTCCTCTTCCTCATCCTTGATATCCTCCTCGTCCTCCTGTCGTTCTCTTCCCTCTCCCTCATCCCTCTCCGTCATCGTGTTTCTTTATCTCTCCTTCTCTCTCTCTTTTGTCTCGTCTTTCTCGCCATGCCTCTTGTTCTTCGATAGTAGATCATTGTTCTTAGTTCTTTTTGTATTGTTATTATCGTATGTACCTCGACCACTATAAATCCGCGGTGGCTCGAAAGCGCCCTGGCCGGCCTGGGGATGATGCCCGCCGCGCGGCGGTGATGTCTGTCGCCTCAGCGCCCCCCCGACCATGGCGGCTGCAGCTGTTCGGCGGGCAGCGCTGACTTTGTTGTGCTACAACCCCGCATACGTACACGTTTATCCGAAGACAGCGGGCAGCTCTACATGCAAAGTCGATCGCTCGCCACCATCACGCTATTGAACGGGGCTGGGACCAGTACACTAACAAAAGTTGTGGGGTCGCATTGATATTGAAAATATCTCGATACAGAACTTCTCACATCACACGAGTGGAGCAGCCACCAACGGGCATCTTGGGTAGAGGCGGATCCATCACTCACTCGCAGGGCAGGTTTCAATGCAAGTTTATTCTCGCCTACTTTCCGCCAATTCCTCGCTCGCCCGCGGCCAAGCCCAACTGGCAGATCACAGCCGATCGAGTGGATTGAAGCAGGGTAGGCATGCACACCAGCTCGGGTCACGCCATACATCTTTGTGGATTTGATTGACGGCCTGGGCAGCCCGCGCGGACCCGATGACGCAGCTGGCCTAGCTTATCCTGACGCCGAGGGGACAGTGGGAGCACGAATGCACGATCTGCTGAACATGCACCACCTCTCGGCGTACAAAACACATTCCTACAGTGCGGGCCACACGCATCAGGGCCCAAACGGAGCTAAGACGCGCATCGACTTCATCATCGGCCCGAGCGGGCTCCTGCCAGGCATCACAGAGTGCTCGACATGGACACGAACTGCCACGAACATTCAAGTGCCAAAGAAGTTTCCAGATCACACGCCTGTTGGGATCACCCATCTAGTGGACGTACCGACGGCGCCAGCGCAGCGAAGTCATACCAGATGGGACCTAGATAGAGTAGCGGCCCTACTCCAGCGCGGAGAGGACAGGCCACAGTTCCTCACCTGCCTAGGGGAGGAACTGATCCCCCACCACAGCGTTTCCCACATCGCCGAGGTCGCCAACACGCCCGACATCCGCTACTCGCTACTCATGAAATGCATCCACGCTGCTGCACGGCCGCATTTTACGCGCAGGTAAACGACTACCAACGAAACCTAGGACCTGATCCAGGAGAGGGACCGCCTTCTCAGAGCGAGGGCACATCTACGCCGTGCCCGCGCGCTTCGACCTGATAATGCTGCATTGCCACGGTTGCGCCAGCTCAGCGCTCAACTCACGCTTATTCGAAGATAAAATTCAATGGCGAAGCAGTTGCGACAGGACTCATTGCTGGAAACACCCCGCCGCGGCGATCATGCAGTCGCCCACCGCATGGCGCGAGCCCATCGCGCATGCAAAGGTCGGAGCCAAGAAGCGGGTCTACAACGCACTATTGACGAGATTGGCTTCCGCCCAGGAATGGCACGGCGCTCTCGCGAAGGACTGCCCTGAGGAGGGCTTCCTGGCCACCCTCGCTTTTCGTCAACGTGAGTTTCGGTGCCCTGGGGATCTCCGCGCCATTCGAGACGCGCCTCTTGAGCCCTATGACCAGGCGCTGTTGGAAGAAGCAGGAGAGCAGATGCAGGGCACAGCTCATGAGAAGAAGCAACCGATGAGCTTCGAGCCCGCGGTCGCCGCCCTTTCCTTCTGGAGGGGATCGACCGCGCAGGTGAAGCAGCGCACCGCCTATACTGTACCCACATCCACATATGCAGATCAGGGGTGGTGCCGCTCGTCGCCAATCAGAGCGAGGTCTGCATCCTCTCGAAGGCCAAGCCTTTCGCGCCTTTTACCAAAGGAACACTCCGCCGAGCACCTGGCGATCTCGGCCGCGCGCGCTGCCGCCTTCTGCTGCAGGCTCATGCATGCCGCGTGTAGCTATTGGAGGTGCCCTTTTCGCGCCCTGCTGACGCGCGAGTGCTCCGCCTGCGACCCGCCGCGCTGGGCCTGGGGGGGCCCCCCACATCGGCGACGCGAGGCTGCCGTCGGCGAGGCAGCGCTTTGCGGGGAGGTGCCATGACCTGACGAACGCCTTCGCACGCGGCTTGCACGCGCGCCGCATCAACCAGATCAACGAGTTCGCACCGCCACATCTTCAACATCTATTTAGACAGAGGCGAACTCGCATGCGCGCACGCCTGCGAGCTTTTGACGCATATGTGCGGCTGCACATGGGTTGCGGCGGCCCCATGGGATGCAGCTACGAACCAGAGCTATTCATGAGGGATTATTAATCGCTTCGCTCATGCCGCCGGCCCTGGAGCCCTCTTTAGGGCCTCTTGGGGGCCCCTTGGGGACCTCTTGGGAGTCTCTTGGGGCTCCTTGGCGGCGTTTTGGAGGCCCCCAGGGCCTCTTGGGGGGCTCTTGGGGGTAGTCGATTGCGGCTCCCCCCTCGGAGGCCACGATCCTCGTGAGGGGTGTCGAAAAATACCCTCCCCTGGAGTGGTCTGGTGGCTTCTCCCGGGCTTCTCTCGGGACCTTGCCGGGGTACTTTTCGCCCGGGGGCCCCCAGGGGCCGCTCCGCGCGCGCGAACTAGAAATATTGTTAACAAGTTACCGGAGATCTTAGCACGCCTCTGGCCCGTTGGGCCGGCGAATTACGCATTGGTAGAGCATTGCCGAACATCAAGAAGTGCTGCGACATCCGCCCCTTGGATGATCACGAATTGCTTCGACTTCGGCGACATCGATCCCAGCCTTGCAGTTCTCACCGATGACCTTTGTCGAATGAGGACGTTGTCACCCGGCGCCCCTGAGGAGCGCATCGCGATGCTGAACGCAGAGGGCGGCGCCTTTGACGCGTGGTTCCAGAGAGGGGCCTACCAGCAGAACAGAAAAAAAATAGAAAATCATTGTCTCTCTCGATGCGCGCCAGCGAACCCATCAGCTTGCCAAGCATGACCAGTTACCATGTGTTATTCTTCCCACTCTTCGGCACCTGGAGGATGGACCGCCCCGCCCTTCACCGGCGCAGTTGACGTCGAGATGCGTTTGCATAATATGTCTATTGGATGGCGTGCATGCTCTGGGGCCCAGCAAAACCCAAGGGCCCCGAAAGCTTTGAAACGCTTGCTTTCCTTGGGAGTCGCATGCCGCGCGAGCTCGAGCGTCCTGGGGGCCAACGTCAGGACGAAGGGTGGCGACGAGCGCCCGGGCGGAGCTGCTGCCCGAAAACTTAGATGCCCGATGCAAGGAGACGCTTCGTGGGCCGATCCAAATGGCAAAAAAATCAGCTGAGTAACTCCGAGGTTCTGATGCGTTGGGACCTAGCCCCTGGTTCTGTCGCCCTGAAAGTACGACGGATATCTTGGTATAAACACGCTCTGCGACACCAGCATCAGACTCGACAGTGGCGGACCTCCTCCTCCTCCTCCTCCTCCTCCTCCTCCTCCTCCTCCTCCTCCTCCTCCTCCTCCTCCCCCTCCCTCCCTCCCTCCCTCCCTCCCTCCCTCCCCCCCTCTCCTCCGCCTCCTCTTTCTCCCCCTCCGCCTCTTCCTCATCATCCTCCATTCATCCCTTCCTTCCTTCTCCCTCATCCTCCCTCCTCCTCCCTCCACCTCCCTCCTCCTTCTCCGCAACAAGAAGCAAGCAGGAGGACCTGGCCCCGGCGGCCGCAGGAGTGGCCCGCCATTTGCCTCGTGAAGTCCCTCTGCGTCACCGAGCTCACGCCCACCAGGCTGGGCCGCCGCGCCGCCCTGAAGGTGGACACAGAAGGCGGGCGTAGGCTGGAGGATGGCACAGGTGGGGGCGGGCGGGGGAAGGAGGAGGAGGAGGAGGAGCAGCAGCAGCAGGAACTGGAGGCGCAGCAGGAGAGCAGGAGAAAGGAGATGAAACACATGAGAACCACGATGGATAGGATGGCGCGGAGAGACAGCGAGAGAGGCCGGACGAGCAGGAGAGCAAAAGGCGCAGGCGAAGAAATTTGTGCATGAGGGGCAGGGAGAGCGGGGGGTGCAGGTGGCGCCGTGCAGGAGGATGAGGAACAACAGAATATGGAGGATGAGGAGGAGCAGCAGGAAAGGAAGGATCAGCATGAGCATGAGGAGGAGCACGAGGAGGAGGAGAAGGAGGAGAAGGAGGAGGAGGAGGAGGAGGAGAAGGATGATCATAATCATTATCTTCCTCTTCTCGAAGTGGGAGAAACGAAAGCAACAAGCTTGTGGATTTCCGCGCGGGTTTCTTGGATCGGCTCTGGACCTCCCCAGCGGCGCCTCCTTTGCCACCTCTGGCGCGCTCCGAGGCCCAGCGCAGATCCAAGAGATCCGCGCGGGGCTCCGAAAGTTCTGTGCATGCATTGCTTTTTCTCTTGGTCATCCCGGGTCCAGCCAGAGTCCGCCCCGCCAGGCTGCGGGCCGAGAACCGCAAGTTCACTAACCGCTTGTGCGGG